ATTATCAGCTTTTGACAACACATTGTAGCAATGATTTGTAAGTAAAGACTGTTTGTCCAGACAACATTGTAAAAAATCTATTACGAAGTTCTTTTATACAAGGTGTCCCTGAAATAATGAGCTGTAAAAATATACCGAGTGTTTAAAGTAAAATAAGAATTTTTTGAAGTTTTTTCAAGCCTACTTTGCCCTGAGTCTTCTCAGGTATTTTGTTGAAAATATAAAAAACTCGAAATATATTCACCTAAGTTGTTCAAAATATTTTAGAAAAATAGACTTAAATAATATATGGATTATAACCGATTTTAAAATTTTAAATATATATATATATTTTTCTGTTCCTCAAAGACTATATTTTAAAAGAAAGGAAATAATGTTTTCGATTAAAATAATAAAAAATATATAGGGTGTTAAAAAATATATAATTTACTTGTAGCTTAATAAAAATATGGATACTATATAAGATAAGAAACACTTATGTTTAGTTGTTCATTTTTAAGTTTTAGCGAATTAAAAAAAAATACTCAAAATGTATAAACATTTTTATAGAAGTGTGTAAAATCCAAAAAATAAAAAAATACAGGGAAAACCAAACACCCTGTATAAATGAAAGTATAATATTAAACAATATATATTAAGATCATAAAATTGGTCCACTTACAACTCTCTAAAAATGAATTAGTCAAAAATGACTAATTTAATAGTTATTAGTGGCTGCTTTTTCACTTGTACCATGGTTAACCATGGGATACCATTGTATCCCATTCTTATGTAAAATTGTCCCCTGAATCCGAAAATACAATCAAAAGTTAAAAAAGTAGAACAGATTTTGAGATATTGTCAATTCCAAATTAAATGGAAAATTGACTATATCTCAAAAACTGTTCTACTGTTTTAACTTTTGATTGTATTTTCGGATTCAGGGAACAACTTTACATAAGAATTGGCCGTTAAATTTTGGAATACAATGGTATCCCATGGTTAACTATGGTACAAGTGAAAAAGCAGCCACTAATAACTATTAAATTAGTCATTTTTGACTAATTCATTTTTAGAGAGAACATATGGAATATCAATGATAAATTATTATTAAAAATTCTTGCATTGACCAATTAACATTCAAAAACTAGTTTCTAAATATGTCTATAAGCTCCTGCGTTACGCTCTACTCGTTGTTTAACATTGAACAACATTTTCGATCAGCTTTGACTTTATTAAATTGAATCAAGTATAAATATGATTTATCGGATTGACAAAGGTTACATGAGCTAATTACCAATTATAATTTACAGAGACCGGATCTACAAGCTCTTAAAATTTGGAATTGGGCGATGGGTAAAAATGCACATTTTTAAGGTTGAAATTTTGGGTATGAATTCCTAACTAGTAAAAATTAAAAAAATAAAAGCCAATTAATAGTAGATAACTAGTACGTACTACAATTTAGTAAAATTTAAAAAAAATTGCAAAAGTACACATTTTTGCCTATAATCAGGTCTCTAATATTAAATATTGATAATTTAAGTCTTCCTTATCTAATTAGATACATACTACTACATTATGTTATGGTAAAAATTAGGATAAGTACAATAAACAAATATTTTGATTATATCATTCCAAAGTTATTTCAAATATTTATAATTTAATCATTGTTTTTCGATAATAACTTAAATTTAATTAAATACAATAATTATAATTGGTGCTTTCATCCAAAAAATATACTGTTCCAAATGTTAATAAATAAAAATTAAAAAATAAATACAAAATATTTTAAAATGTATAAAGCCGAATTTATTTAAAGGATTATTTGCAATAAAATTGACGGCCATCGAATCAAAATCGAATTTGAAATTTTATAAATTTTCATTAAATGTCCACCGACCGCAGATAAAAACCAAAATGAATACTTTGTATAAATAAATACAAAAGGCGATAACCATTCTGAATGATTTACGAGAAGAGCTTTTGTTTTTATACGAATTTTGTATATTTTATTTAATTCGGTAAATAGATTGGCAAATAAAATAAAGATAAATCATTGCTGTCTGTGGCCCACAGGGTCCTACCTTGGGACCACTTAAATGTTAACCTATTATAAATGACTTTGGGCCGTGCTCTTCTGTTTCTATTTATATTCATTTGACATTTTACTTTGGAGTTAAAAAAATTTACTTTATTGGATAATCTCTTGTATGGATAACAGTTTTGTTAATTAATTTTGGGCATCATTTTTTCGCCGATGAAAAACTTGTTCTTCGGTTTAGTTTTATTTTTTATACGCAGCAGAGATTAATTAGGTAGTTCAGGATCTTGCAACAAAGTAAGCTAAGATATTAATCTCTTGGCGCATATCACTGGCAGTTTCTCTTTCGTATAACATCATACAGTGATGCCAATGTAAAAAAACGTAGCAAGTATTTTTTTAAATTTTTTCGAATGTCAATAATAATGATGGTAGGCCACCATTGGTAAAAAGCAAAACTCAGTCAAACTTAAATATTGAAAAAAGGACATTTTGGTATAGGTAGATGTTTTCTGGTGGTACTTTTTCTTGCCTTCTAGGGGGCGGAGAAAAAAGTGGCCCAAGGCGCCATAGTTGCTAAAACCGGCACTGTGTGCGTGTGTCTGGTGGAAATATGCACCCAGACACAACAACAACGGGCTGCTACACAATAACAACGGCTGGACTGGCAGACGCACGACCTCATTACAGGTTAGCAACCGTCTGACGATCGCCTTGCTTGCTAGTTACTTGTTACTTACACAGTGTATTGCACTGATTCACCTTTCCAATTTTCGGTTTCGAAATTTATTGCCGCTTTTAATCGGCGATTTTATTGAATACGCTCGCAATTTTCTTACGTCCAGTCTTAAGCCCGTTTCACTTACATGCGAATTGCGAATTTTGTTGTAATTAGTACATTTGACTTGAAATTGATGGCGCGGAAGCCTTTCCTGCGATCTGCGAATTCGCAAGATTTGAAATCTGGGGATGGATTCAACATGACGATATCTGGACCATCAATTTCCCATCCGATGGGACAGGAGGTCGCATAGCCTGGCCTGTGCGTTCGCCACTAGATTTTTTCCTCTGGGTTATCTAAAAAGTTTAGTGTTTACCACACCTATTCTTAATAAGGTATCTGGGATCCTTCATAGGGTCCGCGAGTTAATGAACTGACGGGTTCAAGTAAATGGCGAAGACTTTGAACAATTATTAAAGAAATAGTGGAGTTTTAACCTTTCCCACCCCAAGTGTTATTGTCAGTTATGATGAATTGATTGATTGGTTTGATTTTTAATATATAGGGTTGAGAAAATTTCACTTTTTGCTTGTACTTGAAATTTCACTTGAAATTTTCATGAAATTTATGAAATTTATTAAAATATATGAAATTTATTGAAACTTTCAATAAATTTCAATCACTTTAAGTGTAATATATTAATATTGAAATAAGCCCACTCGGGGACCATGGCAAATTGCCTCTCTTACCTCCTACCCCTCTGTGGGCCCCTGCACCAATAATATAAATAGTAAATACCTATGTTTACCACAAATTTCTTGAGATTTCCTTTTAAAATATTTTTTAAATTACTAAAACTAAAAGTGATATAGTACTTTTTGGCAAGCTAATGAGATTGTGCCACTTTCATTGTTTTATATTTATATATATATTTATTATTTTTAAATATTTTACTGAAATTTTACGAAAATTGAAGAAACTTCATCAAAATTGTATGAGCCAAAGGCATTTTTTATCCGTTTTCCGATGCAATTATAGCAAAAGTAAAAGTTTAAATTAATCATGACTTTAAAAAAATTTTGAAGTCTGATTTAATTTACAAATTAAATTGGTAACTGAATTAAATTATTTAAATTAATTTATGCATATAAGTAACAATAATTACTTATAGTGTATTCAAATCCAAGCCGAACTAAACAAAAACGCCCAGACGCTTGATAACTCGTTCTTATTGGTCGATTCGGAATCTGTTGTAAATTATTATTAAAGGTCCCAGGGGAGGACGCATGTGAAATTTATGCGAAATTTTCAGTAAATTGCGAAACTTTCAATGAAATTTCTGAAACTTTCACGGGCAATGTTGAAATTTTCGGATTGAAAATTTCATTTGAAAATTTTAAAAATTTCACTTTTCCAACTAAATGAAATATTTCAAGTTTGAAAGTTTCAAAGTTGAAATTTTCATTTAAAAATTTCAACTATCCCAACCCTATATCTGACACGTCTTCACAAATCATAAATGGGTCAATGAAAACTAAATTTGCAAACAATCTAAAACTAAACAGATGGTTCTTATTAGGATCTTCATCTCCAGAAAAGGATAAGAAAAAGCAATGATGAAACAAACTCAATCATCAAAACTGATATCCATATATGATACTATCTAATATATACTATCTAATGTGATACTGTCTATACTATACTATATACTCTAATAAATATAGATATATATAGTATTTATTAGATACATTACATTTATATTATTTTTCCATGGAATGTAATTTTTACTTCTTATGAAGATGAACATCCCAATAAGAATAATCCTTCTTCTTGTTCTTCTTAATTCTGTGCTTAGAGGTATGGCCTTTAGCTTTATTTAATTGTTAATTGGCCAGCACAGTGATCAAGGGTCTTAATTAGAAGTGCCTGAGTTGATTCATTAACGCACCAAAAATTGCTTATTACTGTGGACAAATAACACAAACAAAGGTAAGACTGACGCTTGCGTGGTAAATTTTCAATTTAACAAAAAACAGAAGTAGGATGGCGCAGTGGGTTAGGCTACAAAGCTGTGCAATCTGCGTCTAACGGTACCGGGTTCGATTCCCGGTCACAGCCCTGGGTGTTGTGATTGTTTATGTTTATTAAGACAAAAATACATATAATTTGCTGGCTAAATAGGCTAAAAAGGCCTAAAAGCAAATAAAACTGAAAAAAAAACTAAAAAAAAAAAAACTAAAAAAAAAAGGTACTTACCGGTGAATCGGTTGCCGGCGCGGTTGTGGCGGCGTGGATTGAAGTGGGCGCTGGGGCCGGTCCGCTGGCGCCCCCCGTGACCCGCCGCTGGGTGAGCAGGCACGTGACCAGACCCAGTGCCGCCGCCCCGCTCACCACTACCACCACCACCGCCAACACCGTGCGCCACTTCACCACGCCGCCCGCCTCCTGCTGGTGCTGCCGCCGCCGGTGGACCGTTGTAGTCGTTCTGGTTCTTGTCGTTGTCGACGGATGATCTTCGTCTATGTCGACCCCGCTGCTTTGCCCGATTTTGCCCACACTGCTTATTGCTGAAAAAAAAATGCCATTGAAGAAATTTTGTCAAGAAGCTGCAGTAGAACTTGTGTCTCCAAATTCAATAAATTGAGGGGGCCATTTATGTCATTATACACCATATCACATAAAATTTTACTGGAAAAACTATGGTTTTATGGATTTAACGGAACACCGGTTAAATGCGGCGTGCCTCAAGGCTCAATCCTTGGGCCCATCCTGTTCATAATTTATATAAATGATCTCGCCTGGAACCTGGATACATATGAAATGTGTTGCTATGCTGATGATACTTTCTTCCTGGTTAAGGGTAGGGTTGTAACTTTTCATGAAAATTTTTGAAAAGTTGGGATTTATTTTTCGGAAAAGTTGGAAAAGATGGAAAAGTTAAGTTTTTTGTAATGTAAACGTATAAAACATAAATAATGCTTGACAATGTATTAAAATAATTAATTTCTTATATATTTATACAATGTATGTATAATATACATACGTAACAAGTTGTTTTATAAAAAAATAACAAAAAAAAATATCAAACAAAATAATATGAACACACAACATAATCACAACAAAAATAAACTAGGTTTGAGTTAAAAAAGAATAGAAATTTAAACACACCTTAAAAAAACACATACGAAATAAAAAATAATTACAAAAAAATATGAAGCAAAAATTATTAAATTTATTGCTGTTAAAAATTATGGAAATTTACAAGTAAAAATTAAAAAAAAAAAGAAAAGAAAACGTTCTTCTTTTCCACTTTTATATTTTTACTTGCAAATATTTTTTTCATACACTGAAAGAAATATATACTAAAGTTAAATAAAAAAATAATTAGGGCAAATATATTTTATGTTTCATATATAGACTACCACATACATTGCTAAAACAAATATATTCGTTTGGTTAGCAGCCTATTGCTGCCCTAGCAATATAAATGGTGTTTCTAGCAATATTTTTTTGCTGTAATTCACTTATAGTTTACATTTTATAGTAAGGGTAAGTTTATTTTTATTTAGATCTAACATATCTTCTTTACAATAAATGTATTACAAAATTTACCATACATTCATAATAAACAGTAGTATAAATGTGTAAAGCACTAGTATAAAATTTTTAGTATAAATTTGTATTTACTTTTAGCAACAAATTTCTTTCAGTGTACCTTGTATTCATTTAAAATACGTATAATAAAACAATCTTTATATAATAGAAAATGCTGTTAGCAGACACCATTTTTGATAAAGTTTGACAGAATGTTATTCCAAAAAACAATGATTTTAGCACGTTTTACTAAAAACACTTCAAATCTAGCGATTTATATCGAATTTTGACCAAATTATCTACCGAAAAAAATTTATGGTAGTAGAAACACTGGTTAGAAGTCAACTCATTGTTCATTGGCTCCTACCTATTAACTTTTCCAACTTTTCCAACTTTAGGGGGTGCCGAACTTTTCCAATTTTCCAACAACTTTTCCAACTTTTCGACCGAACTTTTCCTTGTTTGCAACACTAGTTAAGGGTACGACAAAACAAGAAGCAGATGAGAAAATGAACATGGCTCTTCATCAATCAAAATCAACGAGAACAAACCCCAAATTCCTTGGTATTCACATACAAACCAAATAATCTATGAAGAAACTTTCGACCTCAATATACTGCATAAGAAGAATGAAGAAAATAACTACCTTCCAAATATATATACATATATATATATTAGGGTGGCCCAAAAAAAAAATATTTTTTTTCTTCTCGTCTCTTGTGAAAATATGTTGGTTTGTCATGTTTTAAGAGCCCTTTCAAAATATCAGCTCGATTAAATATTTTGTAGGGGTCGCTCAAGATTTTTAAAAATTTTCAAAATCGTCAAAAATTGAATTTTTGTTTTATTTTAATTCTTTTTCTCGTCTCGATATTATTTTTTAGGTTGAAAATAATAAAAATTCTGTAAATTTCAAATCAATATTTTGATTTCTAAAGAAAAAAAATTAAAATAAAAAAAAAATCCAATTTTTGACGATTTTGGTAATTTTTAAAAATCTTGAGCGACCCCTAAAAATTTTTTAATGGTGCTGATCTTTTGACAGGGCTCTTAAAACATGACCAACCAACATATTTTCACAAGAGACGAGAAGAAAAAAAATATTCTTTTTTTTTGGGCCACCCTAATATATATACATATTTATACATATACATATTATAATAACCTTTTTGATCTACTAAGAGAATAACGTAATAAAAAATATAAATACCACAAATTTACGTAAAAATAACGCTATAATTACTAACTGTTTGCTCTCTCTTTCTAAAACATTGACATTAGTAATTTCTTGGTTCTTTAATTTATATTTTACAAAATTGTACTTACAAAGTAATAATGGCCACCCTAGAGTAAAATTAAAAAATATAACTTACATTGTCAAAACTAATAATATTTTGCATTAAAACTCAAACGCATATTATTTTACTAATAAAAATAGGCTCGATACATCTTAAAAATTATATGCCCTCTAAATATTTTACGGTTTTAAGAAAAATTATTGCTTGGGTAAAAATTCAGCAAAACTTAAAATCTACAAAATATTATAAAATCTTTTAAAAATCATTTAGTTTTAATAATTTTTTAATAACTAAAACTTTCATTATTTTAATTTAGAAATATATTTATGAACAAATATTATATAAATGTTTAGATAAGTAATGGATGCCATCTTAAAAAACTCATTATGGCGACCTGAAAAAAAATTTCCCGTATAGTTTTATTTTTCACTTTAAATTTCCGTTAAATTTCTTTCGTAAAAATTACGTCCCTCATAATACTTTAAATTGTTGAAACTTAAGGGTTATTAAAATAGGTAAAAATAACATGAATAAAACTTAAAAAAAAAATTTTACTTCAAAGTAAATTTTTATGGTTAATTTAACAAAATATGTACTTAAATTAAGTAATATTGCCTCAAAGCTCTACGCTTTTACTTAAAATGCTGCTTGGGAATAAACATAATGTAAACACATTATGTACATAAAACCCTAAACCAGTTCACAAAAGGAATTACGAGACATGAAAAAGATACGAGGTTTAAGAAAGATCTAATAAAACCATATCATAGATTAAACAAAACACAAAAATAAATTAATTGGTCGTTTTATATCACATGACTGAAGATGTGGTGGATGGCAGTTTTTGTTGCAGCGGGTGTTTTTGTTTTGATTCAAATTAAATTATTTTAAACTGTTGTCTGATTTTTTATATTTTTTGTCTCGATAAGTATTATTTTATTATTGTGGTACATACACGCTAGACAAGTATAATTAGCAGTATTAAGTTTTAATTAAGGTTAGGTTTTCAAATTACCGGTAATTTGCTTTGATGATATTTTCTTTGTATTTTTTTTATTATAATGGTTTATAGGGCCATTTTAAAAAAGCAAATAATACTAAATTGGTTTCAACTTTTGTATTTTTATTAAGGATATTAAAAAGTGGTAAAGAATTATCGAAAACTTGATAATATGCAAAATAAATACAGTGTTTTCTTTTATTTTTATTGTATGTATTTGCCCACTGAATTATTTATATTCCCGAAATACTTACAAGCTTTTTATGACAGAGGCTGAATCATAATTGCGACGTTTTTATTTAAAAATTGGTCTCTTTGTCAATTCAAAAGTAACTGAATACGAATGAGATTTTTAAACAATATAATTTTAATAAAACATACATACGTATTAATTGTATATTTATAAAATAAAATTATTGTTTACTCGTCTGGCAGATATAATAAAATGTTAATCAAAACACGTATAAGTATCTGTATCATATTGACGAATAAATAACGTGAAAGGTTAACTGCTACAATACAAATAATTGGGATTATGGTTTATTTTTGTCTGGAACAAGCTTTTAAAAATTCATTGAATTTTGGTAAAAACCTCGGAAAAAAATTATCCGCAGAATAAAAAAGTTTTTTGTTAATTAATTGTTCATTAAAATCATAGAGTATCGAATATTAATGAACATCAACGAACATCAATTTGATTATTTATAATTTTATACATACAATATGGTATATTATGTATTAAGTTTGATAAACGCCATATTAGTCAATAATTTAATTAAGGCACAAGATTTTAAGGTTATGTTTGTGCAAAAATTATTTTTTACTAATTTCTTAAAAATGTCCAAACTTAAATATAAATTATATTAGGTAAAGTAATCATTAGTTAATTCTGCACCAACAAATGTACTTGCTGAATTGGATCCTTTGGCAAAACATGAAAATGCAACGATTTAGTTCTTGAATTTTATTTACAATTAAAAACACAATATTTCATCATGATCCCTTAGATAAAATACACACACTAACGTAACTATACAAGCATTTAAGCGTTGAGTTTCTTAATCAATGATATAAAGAATAATTATTATAATCAATCGAAATCGAATACTAAAAAAGTTTTTTATAATTTCTTACTTGGGAATCTACCTGCGTTAAAATCTCAAATTTTTTGATTCTTTTAAATTTTTGGATAAAAAAATATTACTTAATATTTGAAAAATAAATATTTTTTAATTTTTTTGAAGATCGTCGAATTTTCTTGTAAAAATCAAAATTTCTTGATTTTAATTTAAATTATTAAAATATAAAAGATTTGGTTTTAGTAGGCTAGACTAACTTTATCTATATAGGGAAATCGTTATTATCCCCCACAAAATTAGATTAAAGTAGTATGGTAACAGACATATTTCCTGTAATTTTATCTGCTTCTATTTGTTAACCAATGATATCATTTTGATTAAACTTGTTCTATGTACATATAATTAAATTTGTACTGAAATATAATTCACATAACATCTATAACTATAAATCCTATCGATCCTCTTGGATGTACTTATTTCGAAAAAATTGTTGTAATTAAATCAATCCAGACGAATATTAAGTAACTGAAAAAAAACTCGAGTTCAAAGTTTCGTAATAAAAAGTGATTGACTGAAATACGATACATACGAATGAA